ATATGGAAAAATATCATATTCACCAGGAAAGTGTAAGATCTGTGAAGAGATGGGCTAATACCTCTTCGAGGTACTCCTCCTTTTTGTTCCAATTGTATGTATTGAGGCTGTAAAGGCTGTTATCAAACTCAGTTTACCAAATAAAGTCTTTTACTGAATAGAAATTTATGTTCAAATTTGGGGCATGTAAATATATAGACCTTGATTCCGTATAAAGATTATATGTTTAGTATATGATTTTATACAGTGACCGCCAAAAAGTTGCAGACATGCCGCCTTCCTTTTCACGCTCATTTTCGGATGGAAAACGAAGATGAAAAAATGACTGGATTGCATGCGGTATTAGAGCTCTTCGAGAGCTACAACCCACCTTTGCGCTTTTTGAAAAATATTTATTCTAAAAACTTCAAAAGTCTTCCTCTACAAAAAGTCCGAAAACGGCCGCGTCACAATGTCGCGAACAATAATTTAGGAACGCGAAAATTTTCGTTTAGGTCTGTTTTTGGAGCAAAAACAAAAGTTTCTCGGAAAGCTAAGGGTTGTTTCAGACTGACTGCAGCAGACTGCAGCAGACTGCAGCTGACTGCACTGACTGCAGCAGACTGCAGCTTGACCGCACTGACCACACTGACCGCACCGGTCGCAGCCTCTTTTCTTAAAAGAAAAAAACAACCGCGAATATCAAAACAGCGTGATTTGCGCATAAGAAGATCTTAAGTTCCATCAGAATTCTTCTCAATCAAATTCTGGCGATAGTTTTCTTTGGTATCTTCGTATTTGTTCTAATTCTTCCTATCATTGCATATACCCGTTTTGTAACATTCTAAACCTTGTTGTCTTTTGCTTTTACGTATATATTGTTGTTGTTTGTTCAAAGCACAACTATTTATCCTCTCCGCCTGCAGGCTTCAGCCGCTGCGGTCATTGCGGTCAGTGCGGTCAGCTGCAGTCTGCTGCAGTCTGCTGCAGTCTGCTGCAGTCAGCGCAGTCAGCGCAGTTTGCTGCAGTCTGCTGCGGTCAGTGCAGACTGCTGCAGTCAGTGCGGCAGTATGAAACAACCCTAAGCATACTATACTGTAGAACTCAACGAGGACAATAATCCGGTAGTGGTTACTTCCAAAAAAAAACCCAAGCCTGAATTTTATTTTGCTTCTTTTCAAAAAATAACTTCTAATTCCCCGCTTCAAGTTAAATTCTTCACATGGTAACCCATTCAAGTTATTCCAACAAAGCTATTCGGATGAAATGGATACCCTTTGCCATCTTCTATGCATCGGGCGTGTGCTGGTGAGTTTGCTGTAAATGGCTTTTGACAGTGCGTGCAAATGATCCCACCTGCACCTCACCGCTGACTGCAGCGATTTGCAGGGTTGTAGCTCAGCCAGCAGTCAATCTATGAGCTTGCAGGTAGACAAGTTCGATAGAGCGTGACTTCCGCGACACGAAGGTATGCAAAAGAGTTGGGTATGAGAAACAGCAGAGATTTGGCGGCTGGGGTGAAAAAGCGCAGCCTCAGTGATAGGCTAAGGATTGAACGGAGCTTCTTTGCTACAGGTTCTACCCTGGAAGTATGAAACTGTCAATGTTCTTGTAATGGATCCATTTCGAAGCTTTAGGACTGTTCTGCTGTTGATAAAAGCCTCCACTCCAATCACCTAACGCTGCGTATTTTCACCAGGTCCGCCAAATCTCCGCTGTTTCTCATACACTCTTTTGCATACCTTCGTGTCGCGGAAGTCACGCTCTATCGAACTAGTCTACCTGCAAGCTCATAGATTGACTGCTGGCTGAGCTACAACCCTGCAAATCGCTGCAGTCAGCGGTGAGGTGCAGGTGGGGTCATGTGCACGCACTGCCAAAAGCCATTTTCAGCAAAGAAACTCACGAGCCACGTCCGATGCATAGAAGATGGCAAAGAACATCCATTTTATCCGAATAGCTTTGTTGGAATAACTTGAATGGGTTTCCATGTGAAGAAATTTGGCTTGAGGCAGGAAATTAGAAGTTATTTTTTGAAAAGAAGCAAAATAATATTCAAGCTTAGGTTTTTTTGGAAGTAACCACTACCGGATTATTGTCCTCAATGAGTTCTACAATATAGTATGCTTAACTGTCCGGAAAAGTTTTGTTTTTGCTCCAAAAAACCTAAAAGAAAGTTTTTGCATTCGAAGAATTATTGTCCGCGACATTATGACGCGGCCGTTTTCGGACCTATTTTAGAAAAAGATTTTTACAATTTTTAGAATAGATATTTTCCAGAAGGCGCAACGTGTAGGTTGCAGCTCTTAAAGGCGTAGATCGGCAGAATGAGACCCGTGACAAAACAAGATCACAGGGTAGGAGCCCCCATATGGAACCTATCGGCCAAAGTCCGATCTTTCTCTGCCACTTCTAACCCCCGAAATTTCAACGCCAGCAGCGCTTATCTCGTGTAATCTCTGGCCCCGCCCACGATGGGGTAGTATCTTGACATTTTTCTTTAGTAAAACTTATCCATAGAGTGCCATTACAAAAATCTTGTTCATTATATCGAAGTGAAATGTAGTAGTTTTGCTCGACAAAAATCGTAAGGCACATGAATTTGTTGACAACAATTTTATTGCTTTGAAAATCCTACTAACTTGATTTCTCAGATATAGTAGAAACATCAGCTAACGTGTTACGTGAAGCTTATAACACGCTCCCATTCACTATACCCATGAGCGCTGAAGTTGAACGGAGTCAAGCTTGATTTCACCACCACTTTTTGGTTTATTTTGATTCCTTCCGCACTACTTCTGCTTATTCTCCCCCATAAGATCACAAAGATTGCAGAATACGCAACACAAACGAATCTGTGTTGCAAAATGCTTCCAGAAATGTACGCGAGTCTCACCAAATTAACCAAGAGTGGAAATGCAGACGGCATGCTAAGTCTGATGGTCGGCTGCCACTAACCTGCCGACAGCATGCCAGCGCGGGATTAAAATTGTGCCAAAAACAAACAAAAGCCTTATGCGCAAACAAAACGCAAACGCATGACACCAAATTTGGTGTGTGCATGCGCTTTGGGGGACCCGAACTATGGCGCAAAAATTTATAAAAATTTATGTAAATGAGAGCTGTGCCAAACTTTTTTTGAATTAGTCGGCACTGTGCCAGCTGGGTGCCAGCTGACTGGCACCGATCCTTTGCTCATAGAAGTTTCATACTTTTTTACATAAATTGTAACCTTAAGAAAAAAAAGATCTCATGAGGTTTTCCGGCGTTTTATAACCATCTGAAAATTTCTCGGTCTCCTCCAAATCGAAAAATCTGCTCCAGTCACAAAGCGATGTGATTAAACCACCTAAAAAGCTCAAAAAACTTGTGAAAAGGTCGTCCAATGAAATCAGCATGCGTAAAAATCCTATTCATGCTTTTACAGAATCTAAAAAGAATGACGGTTCTTCAAAACAGATTAAAGGGGAATTTGTACAAAATTTTCAAGATCAAAGGGAACTTCGTTTTGGAATTTCCCTAATGCCAGCTCGTGCCGAGCTCTGGATAGAAAGGGCTTTCAGGTAGACAAAGTTTTCTGTGAGAATGCCTTCTTCTTTCTAACAAGCATTTTAAGGAAAGAGGTGTTTAAAGGCAGCGTACACCCAAAATCTAAGTTACCGAATTTCCTAGATCTTACTATACGGTGTATATACTGGGCCCAGAAGAAGACCAACTGCGATGGTCCGGTCTCCCCATGTTACTTCTGAGCGGAGAAAACCCCCCTCAATTTTCTTTCACTGCGCCCCTTTTCTTTCACTCCGCCTCCTCCGGACGAATCCACGACAGCGTAAGCTTCAGTTGCCGTTGCAGTTGCTGTTGCAATGCTGTTGCATCTGCAACTGCAGTTTGCAACAGTCCAGTTGCTTTTTGCGGTGCGCCTCCTTCGTGCGGCGAACCATGACAGCATATGCAGCAGTTGCAGTTGCAACTGCAGGCTGTCATGCTGTTGCAGCTGCTGGCATGCCGACGGGGACGAGCAGTTCGAAACTCGTCCGCCCCTGAAGAGAGGGTCCCCGGAAATCGGGGTTTTTTTGGGACTTTTGGAGGATTTCAATGACATAACTGTAATCAGCGGCACGGAAAGGCCCCAGAATGACCAAAACATCGAAGGTGAAATTTTGGGTGTACGCTGCCTTTAAAGCTATATTGATGTGTTTTAGCTTGAAGATAGACCAGATCACAGAAAAACTTGAAGTTACTGATTTGATGGTTGCTAGTTTTGATGAGCAGCACAATAGAACAAAAAGCGGGTCAAATTTTGGATTGAAAGTACTTGAAGTCAGGAACTTCCAAACACCCTGTATATATTCTGAAGTATAACTCACTGAGTGTGAAAATAGTGTCTTCTAATGCTTTAATGCCAGTGTGTGTCAAAAAAACATGAGGTCGATTTTTTGAAAGTTTTTCCAACATTAAAGAACAGTAGGCGACGTTAGGACGCCCGCGAGGATTTTTTCATGTTAAGTGATGAATTTTGTACTTCAGTAATCAAATTATTCTGGATGTTAAAGGTGAAACATGCAACTGAACAGAGCCATACTTGTTAAGCAATTTTTGGAATTTTGCGATCCATTGGGGGAGAGGGCTGGAGAGTTCACATTACGTGGATACGCAAGCACTGAAATGTTTGGGGAAAAGTCCTTTACGAGCGATCAACCACTGCGAAGAACGGATCTCCTAATCAGTGTAACAGTAAAAGAGTCCTCACTGTTTACCAAGGCTAGTATACAATACAGTTCGTTTCGGATGTTCATCCCAGTAAACCAGTGTGCTCATTGGGAAACACCGTTTCCCATGATATAAATCATAGAACCGGCGTCTCCACTCAACTTTCTCCGCTATCATTAGCTTTTCTTCGTTTCGATTGTGTACCAGTTGGCATTCTTTTCTCGCGGAACATAGCATACTTGTGAAAAACCTACCCGTCCCATAAAGCTAGTATATAATGAGCGCAGCAACATTCATCTGCTTGGTTGTCTCTCCACTATGAAGGCTGTACTCATGATTTTGGTGAGTAGACCTTAACTAGTGATCGAAATCAGCTTATCTCTCAAATCATTAATTTTAATGCTACTAATCCAAATTCATTTTGTAACAAAAAGTCGAAATGTCCTGCTTTATCAGTTTCCAATACTATACACTTCTTCTCATCATCTGTTGTATGGACCAGTCTATGTATTAATCGTTTATTTCATTGCTTGCATGATAATCATTACTACTGTATCCAAAAGATTATTGCTTAGACCTTGCAACATGTATCCAATGTGCACGTATTTTTGAGCGTGAATTCAGTATCACCTAGTACAAATAATCACTGACTGAAGGTGAAGTTCCGGCGCTTTACCCTTTTTTATAGACTGAGAAGCTGTAGCCGAAAACCTCCGTCTCAGGATGTTAAGAAAGTATAGGACATTCGAAAAATCGTGACGATGGCGCAACCGCGCGCTAGACGCACGCATACCCGGCAACCGCTATTTTCTTGGTTTTCATGTCCACTCGAGTTTTTTTTTCTGCTTACATATGATAGTATCTAGACACTGGAAGTGAACGAGCTGAGAACTGAGGTGATGTTTTTTGCATTAGTGAGCGTTTTCTATGAACGCAAGGACCGCAGTCAAATCCTTTGTCACGGTTTTATATGTCAAGATAAAATGCATACGCTCACGCAAGCGTTTGTACTCACTAAAACGACAGCATAAGGCACTCAGCAAATCTATCGTCGGTTCGTTGACTGTACGGACTGGACATAACCGCGGAGCACGCGCCGCGAGGTAAAACGCTTGCTCCAATACAAACTCGCCATTGTTAAAATCGTGCTCTCGCAACATTTTAACCGCGCCGCCCATGGTCCGCAGTCCGCAAGGCCAACGAATCGACGATATATATTCTATATAGCTATGAAAGCCAAAGTTTGTGCAACTCTGGACCGTATGTTTTTTATAGACTCTTCTGCGCGTGAACCAACTGTGCTGAAGCTTTGCACATATTTTATATTATTATTTTATACATATTTTTTGCGCACGTATAAACACATGTTGACCCTGTAGATGGTTTTAGGCTACTCTTTGAGGCGATTTGCTGGGTTCTTCTGTCGATTTATTGATTTTTGGCACTTAGCAATGAAAATGAATCCGCTATCATACCGCTCGCACATTTTGGTGTAAACAACAGCAAAGAAGCTCATTCTCATTTTGCGGTCAGAAGGATGCGGTAATCTCAGATGATGCTGATTGAGATGGGCATTTGCAATGACAATGCACCTTGCAGGTGGATATAGGCTGCAGGACCGGAGAAGGAAAAGGGGGGGGGCGAGGGTAGGAATGCAGCAGATGGAAGCGGGATGAAGGATGGAAAAGGGTAGGTTTTGGAGCAGAACACATATTTTATGCGCTCCCCTTCCTCCCTCTGGCTCCGTGGCTCATGAACCGGGCAAGACGGGTATGCCAGCTAGTACTTTATAAATATCAGTATCACTTAACCTCAACAAACCACTCAGGGACTGATGTGTGTTCGTTGTGATAGCTATGCACTCCTCTTTTCGGCACATTTTTGAATTTTTGGCCATGATATAAAACGCTTTCGTCGTCTTGGTGCCATAATTAAGCATGTCAAATTCACAACTGTGCACATCCTTGTATTAGAATTCTAGGCAAGGCCAATGCCTAGAAGTTTGAAGCCGTTCACCCAAATTGTCGACTTATTTCGACCGGACTTTATGATTAAAGATGATTAAAACATAATCAAGGTTTACAAACTTTATGGCAAAAACACATCAAAGTTATAAGTAGAAAAGCACAAAACTGAAAGCATCTTGATACTCATGAGAATATTAATGGCCTGTGGTAAACCCCACTTCACTTCAGATGATCTCAACTGAGGGGCTAAGTTGAGGTATTTAAGATAAACTGACTAGCGGTCACTCTCACATGCTTAAGAATGCGACCTGATCTGAAGGGTTAGCGTCAGGGCATGTGCCGCAATGAATTCACCTGAAATCCGTAAGAGCAGCCTCGATTTTGAGATGAATTGACCGAAATAGTGTGCAAGGGATGAGACGCAGAGAAAAATCTCGTGAGTTGCTCGTGAATAACTAACGGGACATCGTACTTGACGTATTGTTGCAGTACAAGAACGCGCAAAACTGCACAATACCGGTGCTCAAAAAGGAAAGGATCAATGAACAGCTGATTTCGGCAAAAAAAAAACAGAAGAATAGGTTTTTTTCTTTTCGCAGAGTTTGCTTAGGTTTTTTCTACAAAAGCTACTCAGAGCGGTAATCTCTTTATTTATTTCCATTCGACTTTGTCCCTACTTCCTCAATTTTTGATGAAATTTTGGTTAAAAAAACGCAGTTTTGTTTTACATTCATTTGGTTTGTGGATTCCTTGATAACGGCCGTCATCGATTTTCTTCGATAGTGGCCGTTATCAAAGCTTGCTCAGTGATGCGCAAAAATTCGCCACTGTCCAGCGCCGAACCACGGTCGTGCGGTCTGAGTACCACTCACATACCTGTTTGACCAAACCTGCACAAGAGGTGTAGGTATTTCCTCTTTGATAGCGCGCAAGATTTTTATGCCTGAAAAGCGATCCGCATCTAGATCAATAGCTCGCGGAATGCTAGACCAAGGCGCCATACGATCAACTCAGGTCCGTCTCAGGGCAGATCCCCTGAAGGGGGGTTTACTATGGGCCAGTGCCTCAAACTTTTTTGGGAATAACATCAAGGGGAGTAGCGAGTGGCGACGAATTAATTGGTCTAGAGCCCCGCGTCCAGCTTTGCGCCACCAAAAAGTCGCTATCAGTCGCAAATATTATGTTGAAGCAACAGCAAAGACAGGTACACACAAAACTTGTCAATGATTGCGCGATACTATCATTTTCCTCACCAAACTCGTTCGGTTATACATGATGTGATAGTCGCAGAGATTTACATCGGAATCCGACCAGGGAAGGGGGGGGGGGGGGGAGGGGGAGAAGGTGAGTACTTCGCAAGCGGATATTTCTGAAGTTTTGCGTGGAGACTCGGAAGTCAAATGTGACGTTTTTCCTTCTTCCAACTACTTAACACAATTTCTGCCAAAACGCGTGCACATGCTACTCGAAAAAAATATCTGCTGAGATTTCACATGACTTATGACTTTCTGAATCCTGCCAATCAAACGCAATTTATTGTCGCTGTCTTGACCAGAATTCAAACGCATGACACTCTTTCACTGAGTTGAAAGCTAAGTTTTGCAAATTCTTTCGGAACTTTACTCTGTCTGGATGTAACGCGCTCAAACTTTGGCACTATGTTGATCATAATGTGTGCTACATTTGCGCACAACCTGTTTGAATAACACTAACTAGAAAAATCCCAAGCATTTTTCGAAAGCTAGTGAATTTTGAAGATTCATAGAGTTATAAGCAAAAACCCGTTACCAAGCTAATATGCACGATACGAAATCTATATATATAAAACTCAAAAATTGTCAGTTTGGATTGTATGTGCGCTATAGAAACGCGCGCCACTCAACCGATTCAGCTGAAACTTTGCACACACGTTTTCGACCTCTGCGCAGATGATGGGCTACTTTTTGCTGCAATTCGTTGGATCCTTCTATTGATTTATTGATTTGTTTACGTTTTTGTTAGGAGAAGAAGGCTTATCATTTTAATAAAGCATTTTCCCACAGTCATGTAAAGGAGGGCGGTGAAACTCATTTTTACCTCAGGATCACAAGGATGCGGTTTCGAAGCGTGTCCCAGTGTGGTAAGTCATCCATAACATATAAGAAGGGGGAGGGGGGAGGGGCTCGCGGCGCAGGTGGCCAATGACCCGGGCTGGACCGGGGAAGCCAACTAGTTGTGTATAAAATGTTGCGAGAAGTTGATCCAGTTGGCACAGTAAGGAAGAAGTGATTTGAAGGCAGAGATTTGGCGTCATAAAGAAAGAGTCGTTGAACGCGAGGTTGTTGGGGACAACCGTCAGTGACTATTGTAAGGAGTAGTAACCTCGAAATTCGCCGAGACTTCGCATAGTGGGTTATTTGACGCGTCAAACACATCATGAGATTCATTTACCGATTTGAAGTCTCTTTTCTTGTTTAGGGTGAGACCCCATACTACAGTATTCTTTTGAAAAGCCCTTACTGCGCATTTTTAGCATCGTTTCCAAAACCATCACGTCGGATAACACACTACGTCAGGTTTCAGCCAGACCTGTACTTTATCATAATTTCTTACAGCATATGTCTACTGTAACCCTCATTGCAACGTCAGAATTTGGCAGAACGGCAGCCCTGCTCGTGACTTACATCATAATCTACATCATGACAAAATTTGAGTGCGCTATGTTGAAGGAGGAGAAGTTATTAAAAAGTTGCAAAACTTAGCTTCCAAACTAATGGAAACGTACCTGCTGTATGTGATAGAAAATGTCTACTCAAATTGCTTCGTTAATCATAGTTTTTTAGTTTTTGGATAGAACGTCTGAGAAGTTATTATCATAGAAAGGATTCGCTGTGGATACTCTATAAACTATTTCTTCTAAATGCGATACCAAAACCTTCGCTCTTTAGGCGTGATAGTCAGAAAAAATAACACCGTTTATCTTATTTCTTTCGCATATATTCTTCGCTAGAACTCTTTTCGTGCTTTTGTTGTAGATTTCCTTCGTTAGGAATTTTTCCGTGTTCTTGTATATTTGCCATATCAATAAAACTTGAGAGCTATGAGTCAGAAGTAATGTTATAGAAATGTGTCTTACTACGCATTTTTAAAGTCAGTACAATTAAATTGCGCTAGGTTGCGGAAAATGTGCTGCTTCTAGTAAACTGCGAAGCTAATCAAGTTTGCAAAACACGCATTATTTCCTGCACGAATTAAATACACCTATTTTGATTGAAAAATTGTGTGTGATGACTGCACTAATTTACGAGTTGTAGAGTTTTGTTCAACTCATCATATGAACAACTCCTCTTTTCGATCTTCACGCCTGCTTGTCACCTTTCCATCCCGCATATGACTTTTATGAAAAGTGACAAAGGAAATTATCAAAATATGAGTAGAGCAGCAAACATGTGTAGGTGCCGACTTTAGAGGAAAATATAGCTGCTTCAGTGGAGCGTCACCGTTCATTCGCTCGATCTTGACAACGGAATCGAACACAAACCAGAAGTGAATTGTGGCATTGACAAGATCTTTGTAGACGTCGAGACCGTCAAACCATTCACAGGTACGGAGCTAAGTCACATTACATCCAATTTATCACTGTCTATAAGAATTTCTGCAGAAATTTAGTTGACACATAGGTCTTGTCTGAATTTAACTAGTAACTCTATCCTAACGAGTTTATATTATTCCAGTGTGTTTTGAGAAGACAATTATGGGTTGTGCTTAAACCAGAAATCTTTTAATGGCGATGCTGCGATACAACTTGTCGAAGAAAAACTCTCTAATCACACTCCTTTGAAACTCGGTCGTTGCTGCCATCAAATCTAGATCTTTTGGTGATTTTATGTGCCTGACTGAAAGACTTTGTCAGAGTTGGATTTCCCACGAGTAGTAGTGGTTTTCAATATTCTCGCTCGAACTTTCAAATTTGTATCATCTCAAACGTTTTTGAAAGTAATTCACAATATTTTTGGTCCAAAACTTATATACCAGTCTAATAGTTGATCCAAGAAAATAAAATTCTCACCATCTTAATCTTCACACTCTCTTTTGTTTTTATCCCCTCATTGCAAAGAGTTTGATATGCGATGGTTCGACCTCCTTTAAATCTTGGCATTGGTCCTCGATATGAGTATTGATTGTTTTTTAGCGTTGACCAAGATGGTATTGATAATTATAAAGCAGACGTTCCAGCGTCCGCGCCTTCGTCAGAGCCTGGAAAAGTCAAAAACCATTTATAACACGTCCTTCCAAACGCCTCATCCCGCTACAGAATCAGCTTTTCAAGAACAGATGAAGCAAAAACCTGCATGTTAGATCGCAGAGAGATACTCACCTCAGAAATAACGAGATTTTGCCAAGGCCACCCGATAGGAGGTATACTATCCACTACGCATATTTAAGGCCCATAGGGCCCGCCGAGCTCGCACCTTACCAAAGCTTATGTAAATTTGACCTACGGAGCTGAGGTTTGTGTTGGCGGGCCCTCAGGCCTTAAACATGCGTAGTGGCTAGTATACCTCACTATCGGGTGGCCTTTGGCAAACTCTAGTTATCTCTAAGGCTGCGTTCATACTGATCCCAAATTTTAAGAACAGTTCCAACACAGCGCCCAGTTCAAGCGATGTGTTAGAACTATTTCCGAACTTTTGGATTAGTATGAACGCAGCCTAAGGTGAGTATCTCTTTGCAGTTTAACGTGCAGGTTTTGGCTTCATCTGATCTTGAAAAATCAATTTTGTAGCGAATTGAGGTGTTTGGAAGGAAGTAACATAAATGGTTTTTGACTTTTCCAGGCTCTGAAAGACGTGGACGCCGAAACGTCGGCCCAATAAATATCAATACCATCTTAGTCAAGCTAAAAAACAATCAATACTCATATCAAGGACTTTGATATGTATGATCGTTTCCCAGATCTCGGCGCAAACGGGTCGCGGACTTCTAATTTTAAGGACAAGCTTAACGAGAGAGTACGAGATACAATGCTATACCGTGCAACCTCAGTTTTGGTCAGACACTGCCTTAAACAGCCTGCCGTCAACTCGGAGAATACAAACATTATCAGTTTTGCTTATTGCGTGTTCAGCGCTTTTAATCTGTTCTTATTTATTCTTTCATCTTTTTCTCTCTGAAAACCTCATCAGGGATGCACTTTTTTTGGCCAAGATAGACCTTTAACAATTTTCTTCATCGATTTCCAAAACTATTTCGTGTCGAGCGCTGATTGTAATCATAATACAATCTTGCACTTTTGTCTTGTACACTCGTTGCGAGGCAAGGCAATGCAATGCATGAAAATGGGTATAGCTCTTTTCTCTTGCTCAGAATGAAGCATAGTGCTTGTGCGTTCGCAGACAGAAGTTTCATTGAGAGTTGAGACAAGGGTGGAGCTCCCACGTAAATGTAGTGAAGACTTTTTCCTTAGGCACAGCAGACGCTGCATATTCCTATTGACAGGTCGCCTCTTTGTACAAGGTGAAGCAGACAATAGTGAATGCGTGAAGATACCGTCTGATTCCTCTACACGTCTTTCATTTGTATTGCCCATTGGTGCTTGTAATATGAGAAGACAAAGAACGGTAACGATACTTGCCTTCTTCTCAACGCATAGCAATGTCCCAATTTTCAGATGCGCCCCAGAGGAGTGTCATTCTCCTTCACGCTTGTCATATCCTTCCATCGAGTGAGCAGTTTGTTGTTCCAAATAATGATTTATAAGCGGTTCATAATCTATACGAAACGTTGTCTCCAGCTATTCGTCACCGGTGTCGATCGCTCATTCCACATCAAGTGCTTCTTTCTTGAATCCGTTAAAAGCCTGGATTCGCAACTTGGATTGAAGTGAGTGGAAATTTTTCTCAACTATCCAGGTCATAATAACTATTATATAAAACTTAAAAACGCATAAACGCATATGATAAGTTTGATAAAATGATGAATGCTTTTTAGATAAGGTATACAAGGTATCTAAAAGTGATTAACTCTGTTTTGCACACATAATTAAGAGAAGGCCATTTTCAGACTGAAGTACGAAAATGGCAGATTTAATAAGTGAAAGAACGAAAGGCATTGGCGGGTATCATGATAACGTACGGTTTACAATTATATGAACGCACCTTATTTTGAGAGTTTCGGGATTTTTGGGAAGAAACTCGGGAAACCATTGGCAGTAAGTGAAAGTGGAGAGCCGGAAAGTACAGTCCCAAAAAATGCAATCACTGTTTAATTGTCAATAAGTCTATTCGTAAGAAGTCCTTCAAACTGTTTTAGATACCACTTTGTAAAGCTGGTTTTGTTTAAATTGCAGTATGGAGGGAATTATCGTTTTCTACTCATTACTTGATGATTACTGTAGAAACTCATAGCATATGGCGCCATTGTGAGGCTGGCCGTTCAAGAGATGAGAAAAATTCTGGAAAATTGTTCAAAAGCAGTTTCCGGGCAGAATGGGGGTTTTGGGATTCCAGCGCCATGCGAAAGTGGCCACCCTTCAGACACACACGGCGCAAGTGCGAGGTCACACCGCTCGGCCTAAAGCCAGAAAAACGGCCGGAAAATGGGGAAACTTACGCCTTGGGGGTAAGTCCCCCGACCTGTTCGAGTTCCTGCTATGCGGCAGAGTACGCATGCTGTTACAGTCAAAATCGTAGGGTCCCGCAAGGACTCCGCCTCTCAACCGGGTGGGGACGTCGAATTTCAAGTTTTAAGGCTTTAAAAAACGCATGTTTTCGCCGTTTTCGCGCCTTCTAATGTGGGTTTTCGGATAACAGCGTTGCGGATAACCCCCGGTAAATGATTTTTCTAGAAATCGAGTTTTTGCCCGGACCTGCCTTTAACAAGGTTTTCATGCATGCTGATTTCGCTGCATAACTTTTTGTGCATTCGCAAAGCTTTTTGAATAGGGTATCAAATTTGTCGAACTTCAGAAATTGGTTGTTACGGTATATCCTGCATGACTTATGAGAAAAGCGTAATGGTGAAGTGCGAGTTTCACATATGAAATCAGCGACTTTGATTAACTTAGTGTAAGGGTTTCAGCTTCTGTAATTTCTAGGGGTTAAATATAACCCTAATGACCCAAAGCTCTTCTCAAGCCCTGCTGTAACCCTCATTAGCACATTGACGACAATGTGACCCACATGGTGGGTCACGCAATGACTGTCAGGTGGGACAATGTGACCCACATGGTGGGTCATGACTCAAATTCTGTTAAGATAACTACTATTGTGGGATACATTCGATTCAAAGTTCTCCTACGTTCTGAGTTAGCAAATACTTCCGTGTCTGTAGACTGCTTCCTAGAATTACTGTAGGTATACTGTAGATGACAATCAGCGTGATTTTAGCTAGAAATTCTCAACTTATTCGTGGAAGGCATTGTCCCATAGGGCAGACAGCTTAAAATGCGCGTTGTCGTTAACGTGTTAATGAAGAAGATCGGTATCCGCTTCATGCCGTAAAATCTGAGTTCAAGCCACCTCTTTAAAATGATACCTAACCTTCCAGAAAGATTTCACGACAAAAGAGTTATTGACAATCAAACAGTAGGCTTTTTGGCACACCTTGTGATATACAGCCCATGAATGAAAATCGGTGTTGATCTAGGAATGCATTTTGCGCCGGAGGCGAATTTTGGGCGTATTATCATACGAAGATCTCAAACAGCTTCTTTTCTTATCCAAAAGCTGCAACCTTTCCCAAACTATTCTTAACTAATAGTAACTAGAAACGAAGTATGTGCTTGCGCTAGATCCAGTGTAGTCCAAACAAGAAGGGCGTTACTCTTTCCGGATAACTCAAAGTGCTTTCAAAAAGCGCTTCAAAAACATCTCTTTTTGTGAGCTTTAGAACTCTTATCAGCTTGTATCAAGATTTTGTACATTGAGCTTTTTCGATGAATGTTTTGTTTGGTGCTTGCAAAAACTTTGCGTAATTGCGTTTTTCATCCATTTCTGAACTTTACCCCAGAGTCATCACACTTTTGAAACTCTAAACTCGGCTTCTGTTTCGCGCAAAGATTTACGGTGAGACATGCCTGCTTGCTTACATGGTTATGTACACGTGATGGAGTTTTTTTGTAAGGCTAGTCTTGAGGTTTTGAAGCTGTATGGAAAGGTAAGGTTGCAGTGGTAAACACACTGTACTTTGACACCTCCAAGGCAAAATAATTGTTCAGCGTTGCAGAAGTTTCTAGCCAAAGACACGATCTTATGAACTTATACATACTCTCAGACAGTCGCCGGGGCCAGGCGGTCCGCAAACTCGCGCTTTCCTGCAGGCGGTCAGCAGAATTTTGGGCGTGGCCAAACCTTCAGCGAGCGTAGTTCCTTTGCTGTCGCATCTTCTGCCGGCGCCCACCAATACAGAATCTTCTGCAAGCGGCCGTCAAATAATTTCTTTCAGCGAGCGCTGGTCAGTTTTCAGCTGGCGCTCGGACGGTTTTCAAGCAGTTTCGAGCGTACGCCAAGCACTCAGATAATCGCCGGGGGCAGGCGGCCATGCGAATTTTGAGCAAGCGGGCACCGGAAAAATAGTTCGCCGATTTCTTGCGGTCCGCTTGCAGACATTTGGAAGAGTTTTAGCGAAATTTTGGACGAATGCTTGGAGAACAATCGCGGTTTCATTGTATTAGGTTGTCCGAAAAATAATGTCGCATGACATCTTACCGCGAAAAAATAGCCACAAAAAACAGCGAATGGGGTAACATTTGATAGAGCAAAGCAAGCTCTACAAGGTAGTTTATTAGGCTGGAAACTAAGTTCTGCAACTGGTTTCATAACTTCACTTTCTTTGGATTTGGCGCACTCAAACTTTGGGATTATGTAGAAGGCAATGTGAGCTACAAGTGGGCACAAATTGTCTAAATTTTGAATACGAAATAGAAAAGTTTCAGGCGTTTTACGAAAACTAGTGAAATTTGAAAATTTTTGGGGTTTCAAGCTAAAATGAAGCCTTTGGCAGCCTAGACCATGCGCAGTAATCCGGATCGTCTACAAATTATTGCTAGTGGTTGACTCCTTTGGACTAGTAAGAAAGAAACAAAATGTGGGGGCGTGTCGAGATTTGGCGTTCTCATAAAGTCGAACGAGTCGATGAACGCAAGAGCTGCTGGGGACGACCGTCAATGACTAAAGAGTCCGAAGCTCAAGTCCGCCGAGACTTTACATAGTAAGGTTATTTGACCTGCCAAACGCGAATATCGCATTTTTATTGAATCAACGCCTTTTTCCTTGTTTAGAGTGAGACCCCATATCGCACACCTAGTAATCCTACAAAAAAGCCCTTACCACGCAATTTCACCATCGTTTTCGTGATCAGCATGTTGGATAACACCCCTATGCCAAGTTTCAGCCAAATCCGTCAAACTCTGAATTTTTCCCCTTCATACCATGCACCACAGGTGCGATAAGGTGAGAATGACTCCTCCAGGGCGAAGGGGGTCACTGCGGTCGCAGCCTTCCAGGGTGAAGGGTCTTTCATTTGGCAGAGAAATTATGAAATGTCGACCCGGGGGGGGGGGGGGAGCCATGGTATTCTCTCATCATTCTTCTAGTCAAAGTTTATAATTTTTGATTCCCTGCCATCACTGGTTGTCTTTTTCTGAAATGTGAACCGATGTGTTGTTGGATTAGCGCAAAATTATATTTCTGATAAGCACCTTGTATTTTTTCCATTTTCTTTCCCCTTTTTACATCACCCTGCCTGTTTTTAAAATTACCATAGAAGATGTGCATGCGAGAAGATTTGTTTCGCAAAAAGTTAGACACTTTTTGAGTATTTACGAATTTTTCAAAAGAAGAAATTAGTAATTTCTGTAGATGAACAGCAGCGTCAGCAAGGGAAATGCTTTTAAAACCATCTTGTATTCTGCTTTTAGAGCATATAGTTTGCCTGGAGTCTGTTGAAAAAGTGTCTGGTGAAGTGTGTGGTAGTAATTTCCGCATATTTACGAGTTTTTTAGATAGGAAAATCCGTAACTTCTGAAGATGAACATCTTGTACGCCGAGATGGTCACCGTTGGAACCGCCTCGTCCTCCGCTTTCAGAAAATATATACTTTGCCTAGGGTACGCCGAAAAAAGTGCCGGGTGAAGGGTGGGTGAGACTTTTATAATGGGAGTGCTCGTGGAGGCTTTTTTACCATTGTAAAAAGACGTCTACTTGAGCACTCCCATTATGAGAGTCTCACCCACCCTTCACCCGGCACTTTTTTCAATGGATCCTAGGCAAGATATATATTTGCTGAAAGCGGAGGATACGATGGCTCCAATGGTGACCATGACGGCGTACAATATGTTCATCTACAGAAGTTATGAATTTTTTTATGTTAAAAACTCGAAAATCTCCAGAAATCACTAGGACACCCTTCACCCAGGCACTTTTTCTAGCGGACCCTAGGCAAAGTATATATTTTTTGAAAGCGGAGGACGAGGTGGTTCCACTGGTGACTATGACGGCGTACAAGATGTTCATCTACAAGAGTTATAAATTTTTTATTTTAAAAACTGGAAAATCTCCAAAAATCACTAGGACACCCTTCAGCCAGGCAGTTTTTTGGATGGATCTGAGACAAATTGTATATCATTTGGAAAAGGAGAAAGAGGCGGTTCTAAGGTGATCACCTCGCCGGCCGCGAAAGATTTTCATCTACAAAAGTTAGGAATTTTTTGAGTCAAAAACTCGAAAATGTCCAGAAATCACTGCTCACACCGTCACCAAGCACATTTTCAACAGACTCCTCCTTTCCTATACATAAACAGTTCACGCACAAATATCTCCTTTCCTTAACCTTACCTCACTGTTGATTGTTTTCTCGGCTTTTGGTGAAGGGGGTCACCTCGG